GCTGCTGGCCCAAGGCCGGGGGAAGCATGGCCGCCCCGGGGTCAGGCTCTCCGGCCGCCCCAGCCCCAGCCCCAGCCCCTGGGAGTGTGTGTTCTCCTGGGCTTGCAGAGCAGGGCCCAGCTAGTGGAGCAGCAGCAGCCCCTAGTGGCCGGGCGTGCCAGTGCAGCTGCCCCTAGGGTAACCCAGCACGGTTTCCTATCAGCCAGAAGGGCTTCAGGCTGGGACAGACCCCACCTGATCCTACGTACTCGAAGGGAAGCTTCTTAGCCTGTCCTTCCCTTGACTCCTTCTTGTCTCATCACGTCTCCTCCCGACATTTCCTTCTTGTGTGGAACTTGAGTGTGTGGAGCAGCCTAAGGCCCTTCCCTGGACAGCGGAGGATGCTGGCTCCCGGGGTGGGTGACCCCTCCTGGAGGGTACCTGCCAGTCCCTCAACCCCCAGCTCCCAATCCCGCCGTGTCTTACCAAGTTCCTTCTGGGCAGGTTCCAGGACTGGGCTCCAGAGACAGTGAGAGTAACCACCTTGTGCTCTGGGGCGGGGGCCACCCGACAGGCACCACAGCAGTGGTGGCACCCGGGGGCCCTGCCTTGCCCACCCCGCCCTCGAGCAGCTCTCTGCCTGCAGCTCGGGCAGATGGCACACGGCAGGCGGGGGCTCCCGGGCCTCGGGCTGCACTGCTGCTGGTGGGCCCGGCGGGCACTCGGACTGGCTCAGCCATTCTCAGCCCAGTTCCTGGACAGTTTGGACAGGGGTGCAGGTTACTACCCCGGAACTGGAGCAGCGCACTCTCCACCCTGGGGGAGCTGCAGAGAGAGCAGGGCTGGGCAGCTGCCCCAGCTCGGTGCCCTATGGCTCCTGCAAAGCAGGAGATGAAAGCTCCACCAGGAACCAGGCAGTCAGGTCACGGAGCTGAGGCCAGGAACCTAGCAGCTCCAGGACCACGAGGGCAGTCCCAGAAGCCCTCCCCAAGTGACCAGACGTGGGCAAGCGCCCTGTCCACACTCTGGCCCTCGCTTCCTCTCAGGCAGATGGAGCACCTGGCACCTGCTGTCCCCAGGCAAGGGGACGGTGAGATGAGGTAGCGTGGCCCAAGGTGCCGACGCGCGGAGCAGAGGCACACGGCGGTTTCCATGCCCGTCTGCTCTTTGAGCAGCCGAGGGAGGGTCTGAAGAGTACTGCTGCCAGGATCTGACCCGTGGCCCCGAGAGCCATCTGAAAGCTCTGGTCCCAGGCAGGTGGGGCAGCTCGCATCTACATGTGAGGAGGGCCGTCATGTCCCCAGACCACGGGCTCTGGGACTGGCTTCCTGTCCCCTGCTGTGAGGGTGCAGCCAGTCAGGAGGCTGAGGGGACAACCCTGGGGACAGCGCCACAGGGTCTGACGGCCCAAGCAGTGGAAGCTGTGGAAGCCAGACTGGCCTTGCTTCCTG